AACTGTATCATCTAGCGTCGGATATAATCGAGCTGTTTTCGATATTTCGCATTTTAAACCGTTAAAAGTGTTGTAGATATTATACATTTCTATTCTTAAACATACAATGAAGTTAATATATACAACTGGGAATTAAATCTTGATTCCCGTGCTTAGTTTGCATGCATATAACCATTGAGCTATAGAGATCAGCGTTTTAGCAAGGAAATAATTATTTTACAATTCAATTTTACATTATTATTATATAACGCCGATGTATTTGTATATATCTAAATATACCTAATCAAGATTCCTTTTTTAAAATAGTTTGTCATTTAGAATACTGAGTTTATTTGAAAATAATAATTATGTATCGCGTATTTCACGCGTAATCTACCGTTCATTGTTTGCCCAATTAAGCTTTTAAAGAGCAATCTTCTTTATAACAGTTCGTTAAATGAAATCAGTTAAATAGTCACTCTTTTTAAGTACATTAGTACAAATACATCTTTAAAATCCTCTTTTTGGAAAGCCCAAATTTATCAATTTTAATCAAATAGGGCTTTATGAGTATATACATACAAGGAAATTTTAATAAAAAAAAATTATTTGTACACAGTGAATGTTACACGATAAAACAATAGACGGTTTGAAACGCGAATTATTCTCCAAAGCAAGCGAAATATCATAAAATCATGTGCGGGTATTTGGGTCCTAACTGTCGGTAAAAAAAATTACAAAATACCTTCATTATATAATTCGTTTATTTAAACTGTATAGTATTCACATCGTCGCTACGTGTTTCAAGACGAAACAGGAGCTTAACATACAAAATGAGAACACAATTTACAAAGTAACTAGGATAAGACAAATGCAGCGGTCGAACAAAAGCTATATAGTAATAGTAACTAGACGTTTGCTATATGTATATTGCGATATAGCAAAAACTTATAATTAATTAAATGTACTTGGCAGTTGCGACGCAAGACTTCCAACGAAAACTGTTTTAATACTGTTCAAAGTTGTGGATAGACGCGACACTGGCGACATCTGTGCGTCGTGCGGGAAACGTAACGAGTGTTGTATGAAAGAATCCTCGAAAATACTAATTTTACGGACACTAGACTTTAATATTGAGGAGTCACGCAAATACTAAAGTAGATTGGACGGAATTCTTAAGAATTGTAACCTATATAGGTAATTTAAGTAATGACGTTGATAATGTAAAAATCACTGGAAATCTAAAGCAAGACGTAAGATGATGTGCGTGATATATCTAATTACATAACCAGAAGATGCTAAGCATTTTTATTAAGATACACCATTATATAAGGGTAAACCAAGCGAAACAAGAAGTGCATGTATCAATTCATGAAAAAATTCAATGGGTTAGAGCAACACGCAGCGCTGTAGATGCCGGTTCAAGTCCCGCCCGTGTAGTAAATTTCAATCGAAAATGTATTTTTAATTTAAACAATAGAGACAATGAAATAGTTTTTTTTGACTATTTAATTCCAAACAAACTAACAAAAACTCAACACAAGCATTCTTGATTGAAGGACGGTTGGCTTCGATTCAAAAGTCAAACATAATTCGATTAGATCTGTCACGCATGTCATCTTATGGTGAAAAACAGATGCCGCTAGTGTCGCTGTTACGAAAGCTATCAACGTCCATCGCTTGGCCGACGCGGGCCACACCAGCCGATCTAGTAAAAGTAATCTATAGTAATTGACTATATACCTTAAACCGCTATCTGGGTACGAAATAAACTATCGCCAACTGACTGTACTTAAACGATTGACCACTACAATCTATTGAGCATAGTAAAAAAAGGGCAGTCAACAGAAACGGTAGCGAATGGCTACGTCGAGTATAGTCACTGTCGAAATTTAAGACCACGCGCATTAACCAATAAAAATCACACGAAAATTACCAATGCCCGGACCAAGTATCGTCTATATCATCACAGTTACCCATTTTTATTACAAAATTTACACTAAATGCACAAATTTTAACACACGTACAATCTCTTTTGATTATAAAACTTCACTTTTCACTGATTGTGCGTTAACAATATTTCATAAGACACATACACACTCCAAGAAACCAAATGCGTTTAAATAAAACGGTTTAAAACGCGAAATATTAGTTACATTATCTACTACCCTGGATCCAAGAGTATCAAATCATGCCATTGCGCATGGGCAATATAAGAATTTAAATAATACACTTTAACGGTTTAAAACGCGATATATTATTTAAACTCATTTGAAAAATGATTTTTTATCTATATTTGAAAAAAAAAATCATTTCTCAAATAAGTTTAACTAAAATATATCGCGTTTTAAACCGTTAAAGTGTTTTATTTAAATGTGTACCACTCGCGTAAACTATAGATAGTATTCAATATAAGAATTGTTAATTAGTATGTTTCGCGTTTTAAACCGTTACGTATTTCATTTAAATGTGTACAAATCGCGTATTATACAGACAATATTTAATTTTAATACATTTTCAAAGGATCACCACTGGTAATTTCCGTTTTAGCACAATATCATAAACAATTGATTTATAATTTTATTAATATATATATAACTATGTATGCATATACATAAAAATATCAGTAAAATTAAATGAAAAATGCATTAATTTCATACAAATAATAAAATAGGCCTTTTACAATCTTAGGAAGACAAATAAAGTGATAAAAAAATCTGTCAAACATATTGCACGGGCTGTGTCTAGAAATAAAATATAGTTATTACGCTGAGAGGCATTCTTAACTATCACCGCACGAATTATAGAGATTGAGTCGAGGTGCGATTCGCACAAAATCGTTATAATTGTCACATCACTTAGAATTGACCACCGATTCTATTGTCAGGATGCGATCATTGTACTTATCCACTGTACCAATATATTCAATTGTATATTTAAACAATAAAAAGCTGTTTAAAACAGGAAATATTATGTTTAGCTCGTGACTACGACTGCTGCAGAGCAACCGGGACATCTGATATAATTCAACTATTTTGCGTTTTATACCGTTAAAAGTGTTTTTTTTTTTGGGTTCAGTGCGCTTAACATAGAAATTAATATATTTAATTCTTAAATGTATTAATATTCTACAGCTGTTATGTCATAAAATATAAGTCCTCGAAATTTATCACATCCTGACAATTTTTCAAGTGATATTTGTAATCGGTGGATTACTAGTGATAGACTATAATCCGTCCTTCATTCAATAAATTCATGTTCTATGTGTAGATAAGTCCCAAACTCGATCCTTCAATACTCCGAGATAAAATATAACATAAACAAGACAATTCATATCTACGTCAAAAACAATCGTGAACTGATATGTTTGACCGTTACAAAGGAACAATTATACTGTTAATCGTTAAATAAAATGCCATTTTATGTACTATTTTAGCTGGTTTGGATTATTCCTGTTCTTCGTTAGATTATAAATTTAATCAATTTCATAATAGCATACAAGTTTTGTTGATATTAAAACAGGGTATAATTCAAAACAGCGATATCACTATTATAAAACACATAAGATATTTGATAGACAATGGCTACATAAAATACTCGCCTACCGCCACTGTATGTATACAACATCAAATCACAACTAGGTCTATTCACAAACGAAATCGCGTAGCTTATCTTAACTAGAAGGCCTTGTTTATCTACCCTCACGTCCGCCGAGAATTCCAATAGTAAGGTCACCGTTTCACTATGAAATACAGCGAGTTATATCACTTGGAACAAACTACGAGAAGTCGACTTATAAAATTAAAATTTGATTCAGTAGAAAATCTTTTAGTCACACACATTAAAACATCGCTTAATCTAAGGCTCCGAGAGGGAATCCCCGCGTTTTGTTAAAAAAGACAGTTCAGTCAGAGTCTTGTCTAATATCGGCACAAGACTTTGCGAACGCACGCGAAACGCGGGTAGTTGTAAAATTCGGCTCTCGAATAAAGTCGTTCGGTACGTTTAAAGAGTATCCTTAAACAGTGGTCGAGGTTCTTAAGACTAAACCAGACTTAGCAGGCACTAACGACACTCTGTCCTCGCCCCACGTGTCCGCAACACGTCGGCTTTTTCGCACAATTCCACTAAAATTTCGTATTTACCTACGTTTGCATTTCGTAGTCTTTATTTATTTATTGAGATCAATTTTGCCACTACGCACTAGATTAGACGCCGCCGAGCGAAAATGTCTATGACCGCCGCCGGTCACCATTGCCAGAACAGGATTTTATAAAATAAACTTCGCAAAAACGCCCGGGCCATCTTCTATAGTAAAGTATATTTTAGAAGTTTATGTTTATCTAAGATAGGAACATGTAAATCAGTATACACAAAGTACGGAGGCACAATTTCTTAAACTCAGTAGAGACTTACAACAAAACATTCGATGTTCGGTAGAAAATTGATTTTAGATCTAATCTTGCGTCACTAAGATTAGTTCGAGGCACTTGTAAGGCCTACTCGATGCGCGGGGGACATCTCGGAAACCCAAAAAATATTTGTATATCAAAACGTCTACACGAGTCGACGGGCAATGGTGACGAATATCAGCACTTCACTATCACTTGTAAACAACAGAGGGCGTTACAAATAACTATTGTCAGTGTCACTATTTGGTCACTTCACTCACAAACTCGTTAGAGAGTGCGCGCACCGAACTACAGAAAAATATTTGCTATTTAACAAGTGTACTATTAAAAACATTTTAAGTTAACTAAATATTGCTTATGTTTAACAAAGTACGATACACGAACTAAGATCTTTAACAATACACAGAATACTCAACAAATCAGACACCATCAGCGCGTTACAACCGCCGTTGATTCTAAATCGCACAATACAAACGTGCGTACATATGTGGACGCACTGTTTTATTCAGTGTTCTGTGATAAAATCGTCCAAATACATCAATACACAAATTAGTTAAGCGCACGCACTCTCTAATGCACGCTCACAAGATAACGGCGATGTCGGACGTTTCAGACGAGGTGATCCCGGTCGTCGAGCGAGCCATCGGAATCTCTGTCTACCCTCAGCTCCCGTTCGAGGTCTAAGCTCCGTCGCTCGAGGTCAAGCCGAGTCGGCCCCGGGACAGCGCGCCGCGGCGCTTCTAACGACGACACCTGAAACAGACCAACTGTTATTAATCGTTTTGGTGCTGTAAACATGCGGGGTGAGGGGGAGAGTAACAATAAACATGACATCGGGGTGAAAACCGTTTAAACTTTGTAAAGTAATTTAAGTGAAACAAATATATTGAAAATAGGTGGGTGAAACAAGAAATGTATTTTTTCTAACTTTACATTTTTGGTAAACGAACACACAATTTAAAGAAATCGTGACTTTCTCATGGTTTACATTGATTTACAATTTTACACTAAGAATATTTTGAGACACTGGATTATATATAACTACATGACATGCACTTAATAAAAGTCGCAATTCCATGCAAAATTAATTAAAAATGGACAGTTTAAAATTTTGATAACTTTCACCTTTACATAGGGACGCAAAGTCTGTTGACTTTAAGGCAACAGAGGAAAGACGTGCCACACGTCCGTCGAGTTTAATAATAATGACATAAGAAAATGAAATGGTTCGTAAAAAAAGTGCTTTTGAATGTTAAGAATGAGATCGTTAGATCTCAATAGATTGATCTGTGTAGTCTGTGGCATCATCTATGGTTTGAAATTAACCATATTTGTTGTCAAGTTAGAAAAAATACGCTCCAGTACAAAGACTTACTAATGAGAGTTCAAAATATTGTCCTATAAAAAGGAGCTAGATTTGCCTCCTCACTGTTTATACCTCAAAAACAAACAACATCAAGAAAGGTTTCATGCGTAGACAAAAGACGTTAAGAGGTTAAAATTAACACAAAGATAATATTTTGAAAACATACCTCATCTTTGCAAAGCTAGTTCTTTAATAAGCATTTTATTAATATTCTAAATTCATAAAAAGTTATCTGATAACGTGTCAATATAAATCAAACACTTTTTGCCGGTTTAAAACGAAAAATATAACAAGTATATAGGTCAGGTGTTAAAAGTTAAAATTGACTATAGAATCACGAAATGGATATTGACTGGGTGGTAGGAATATCGAAATTCCGTTTCTATTTGAGCCTGTGGACTAGTTTACGCGAGTAGTACACATTTAAATAAAATGCTTTAACGGTTTAAAACGCGATATATTAGTTAAACTTATTTGAAAATGATTTTTAACTTCGGCCCGACGTATGCTTGTATGACTTCGGATGCTTTGCAGAAGCCGTGGTCACGGGGAGACTCCCCGTGTTCGTGTTTTATTTAAAAAATCATTAATGTAATTAAAATTATATTACGTTGATTTTACTGTAATCTTTTATTATGTATTTAGTTTGTAAGTCTCTTTGAAATAAATAAATAATGCATGTTTAGATGCTATATGTATGGAGTATATCACATTCGTTCAAGTGACCTCCATGCTTGTCTATCGGAGAAAAATTAAACATTTCGCGTTTTAAATCGTTCAAATCGTTTTATTTAGTATACACTCCATTTTGAGTCTTAATACAATGTTTTGTGCATAGATTGCTTCAGATACGAGCAATCTTTGTACGCTGGTTTAAAAAATATTGCCTCAGTTCAGATCTAAATAAATCACTTTAACGGTTTAAAACGCGAAATGTTTAATGATATATTTTGGTTAAACTTATTCGAAAATTATTTAAACTACGGCCAGACGTTTGGGATGCTATATCGCGTTTTAAACCGTTAAAGGGTGTTATTTAGATCGATAGATAGTGTTTTATTTAAATGTGTACTACTCGCGTAAACAAGAAATAGATCTGTCAAATGGATCTCTCCCTATCCCCTCTTTACTCACCTTCGCAAGGCGGCGCGCTGCCGGCGGGCGCTAGGATGGCGCGGGCAAATGTGGAAGCTTGCTTGCCCAATAGCGCGCGCCCCCACTTTGTCCGCTGCCCGCGCTCAGACCGCTGAGACCACTCCCCTCCTCCGACAACGCTGCTTGCAATTTCGCTTCTGGAATTATTTATGGCCTCAATAAGTATGAATTCCGGGTAAACTAAATTGTTTCGATCGGGTAGGGCATAGAACTTCATTTAGCATCGCAAAACAGAAATGCCACACATGAAAGGAGATTTGGTAGTAGTGTTCAAAACCTTTTTAGGATTCCTTCTTTGACCGACACCGTAGGCTTGGTGGGTATTTAGATTTTTTGTCGACAAGAAAAGAATTCTCTGCATTGTTGTTTTACCATAGATTCGCTCGTCCATCATTTGTACTTGCTGGCTAGATCGAAAAGTATTTTTAAATAAAACACTTTAACGGTTTAAAACGCGATATATTAGTTAAACTTATTTGGAAATGATTTTTAACTTTGGCCCGATGTTTCGGATACTTTGCAGAAGCCGTGGTCACGGGTCACGGACCACAGCATAAGTTTAACTAATATATCGCGTTTTAAACCGTTAAAGTGTTTTATTTCAATGTGTACTACTCGCGAAAAGTATTTTACTAATATGTATTTATACACAGCAATTTCAATGGATTCAGAGCAACCAACCAACACCAGCCTTGGAAGTATTTTTGAACTATATCTATCGTGTTCTTTGAGAGATGATCACAACCCAGAATTTAATAAAATTATGATATACTAAGATAATAAATAAATGGACGGGCTCGTTGGTGTAATGCATGGCTAACAATTAAAGCGGGGTTCGATCCCCGCTGGGTCCAATAGTTTTCTTATCAATTCTGTAACATATTGGACTTCATCTGGAAATCGGGATATTAAATGTGTATTTCCGAATATCCAAACCTAAGCAGGTAGATGTTATACGGCTGGGGTGTTTTAACTTCCATCAAGAGAACCCATGCCTTTTCTTCTTTATCATACCATAAATAAATAAATTTATTTACCGCGTGTAAATGCGGCGTTGTACTCACTGGCGACTTGCGACGCATTGAATGTGACTGGCGTGCGCGCGAGTGGGGTGCGCAGCGAACCACCACGCCCCCCCGCTGCGGCGGCCCCCGCTACCGCCCCTGCGCCCGCCGTCACACTTACGCCACTACTCGACTGAAACGATACCAAACTCATGGTAACACAATGATCGGATAGAAACAGGAGGTGTACCTCATCGTCGAATTTTTTTGCAACTTATTGATACACCTCTCGCGCAATGTAAGTCCCGCCCAAATCAAAACTGTTTTCAATTTAATTTTGGTAAATTTAATGCTTATATCCCAAACGATAAGACTGTATGTGAGAAGTAAGTCCCACAAGAATTTGAGAAGCGCTTTTCGGTAATAAACTAGTATGGTTACACAATATATTTAAATAAAACACACGAACGGTTTAAAACGCGATATGTATTAGTTAAAATTATTTGAAAATTATATTTAACTACGGCCCGACGTTTCGGTTGCTTTGCAGCAGCCATATATATCGCATTGCAAATCGTTAATGTTTTTCATTTAAATGTGTACTACTCGCGTAAACTACAAACAGTATTTACACAATATACGTCAACAATAAACTGTTTCATTTAAATAAATTGCTAACTATAAAATAGAATTAACTTTATCTAGAACTAGATCTACGTATAAATATGAATATATAGAGATAATGCGCAAAAAATGCCAATCAAAATAAATGTAAAACAAATGCCAAACATATAATTTTAAACATCCATAAATAGATTATATATTACTGTAATTAAAAACAATTTCCTTAGCAATATGATATCTATATATGGATTAAAAACACAATTAAATAAATAAAAATATAATAAAGTTGTAGCCAGAGCAAGAGAATCAACAATATCAAAACATTAACGGTTTCAAACTTGAAATATATAATTTAATTGATTGTTTGTTACAACTTACCGTTTCGTCTATTAAAATAATCTTATTACTTTAATTAAATATTTTTTTAGATATATCAAGATAAACAGCATAACAAATTTCTTTTTTAACAAAACTATGGAAAATAAACTGTACCTATAATACTTATTCATAATTAAACCCCCCACCCCACTTTGATAAAATTAAGAGAGAATTATTGATATGTCGTCAATGATGTAGGAGTCCAAAACCTCCGTCGCAAACTGTCAGTGTCTTATTTTTGACAGGTGAGTCATAAGTCTCAAGATAATCAAAATGATATAGAGCCCTATAATGTCTAATTATGATGGGCCGTCGACCTATTTACATTTGAAGAATTGAGTCTGGCTACAACAAAAAAATAAAAAGCGCAACTCAAAACAAACCTATTTATCTGTGCAGGCGGTCTGAGCGACGCGCCTCGCGTGGCCTATACTAACGTGGTTGGCTGGTGGTTCCTCGTCGTGGGGGGGACGGGGAAGTCTTCGTCGCAGCCACGCGTGCCGCAACGCTTGTGCGGGCGTTAACCGCTTCTCTGGCTCCCATTCGAGACATCTGAAAGTGTTTTTTATATCGGTTAGATAATTTAACTAAATCGTTCTTGGTCTGGCTTTGTCAGCTAGATATCTAATATTTGTGGCAAGACTCATTATTTTAATTATAACTATTAAAACTAAACAAGAAATACAATATTCGTGTAATATTATCATTTTGTACAATACTGTAAAATTAACTCGACTCGAAAGGAATGGCGGCGAGTTATTTGCCAGCTCTTCTTGTTTGAAAACTGGTAGTACATGTAAATTTAGAGTCTTTAGTTTTTAGCTGGTGTGACGTTCATAATGTATTTTTGACTAGGATGCAACTATGTGCCCTTTTAGATTGAAATAATTATGGTAATTACCAGGGACTCTAGCACTATAGGTAGTGCCCTTTCTACTGAGCTACATAAGGGCTTTGAGCTATTAAAAACAGCTTACCTTCTAATAAAATCGATAAAGTATTTATCCTGGCAACCCTTTAGGGCTGTCACAAAACTCTTCGAGCCAGGCAGACCTCGGTGCTTGCCCCTTCTTGACATACCTAAAAATGTAAAGCAAATTTGGTCAATGTCACGTACAAAAATTTTTGGTTTAAAGATCTGTAAGTATTTCAAATATTCAGCAAGACATCATAGTCGACAAAAGGAGAATATCAAACAAGTAGTTATTTATACCACATTTATAGATCATGATTTTTAATCAGCAGATACTAGATTATGATTGCCCGTAAATGTCATACAATAAAGCCATCCACAGACAAAATGGCATCTTAATTGCACAGATAATATCAATCGTGACTACTGGTCACGAGTCCGTCACTAGATTTCCTATTAGCTCATCTGACTGATGGAAATAGATGATAAATATAATTCAGTTAAAAGAACAACTAAATTAACTTCGCGTTTTTAAAAAGTTTTGGGAAACAAATATTGCTTTATAAAAAATAAACGTGTCATCATTGTATATCTGTTCTTTCTGTAATGTTACTTGAAGCAGACCTACTTCTGAGTAAGCTTAGGTGTGTAAAAACCTTTAAAATTAAAAAAAAGTAAGCATTTATACTTATTCTTTTCTCTTCATAGCATAGTTTACAAATAGATAAAAAAAATAAAACTACCCTCCATTTTTGTATGATAAAGCGACACATTAATGAATTTAGCGAGCATTGACTTAAATTTAAACCATTCTTCAAACAATACATCAACAGAAGCTTACATCCACACGTAGTTTACATGTTCATCCATAACTCGTACTTGATACATTTAATATAATCGTTGAACTTATGAACAAAGAAATCTGAGATTTAAATCTACTTCATCCTTCGGCTTACGCTGAAAGCTTTCGAGGGGAAATCAAATATTAATAAATAAACATTATAGGATTACTAACACAACGCGTTATTTGGCCGATTTCCAAGCATATCGGATGTTAATCATTTTGATATAAAAAGGATACATATTTAGAAATACTTAACTGTTCTATTTGAGTTTAAATGGTCACGGAATATTGGAACATCGCAGCAAGGATATTTGCTGCGATTTTTTTCGTAATAAAAAAAAAGAACATGAAAGAATGCAGATGTGACGAAATTTATTAAACGTGGAATGTATATTTGTAGGCTAACTGAAGTTAATAATGGCGGGTCGGTATTGCAATCATTATTAACTACAATAAGGGGAAATGTAGGTACATGTTGCAAGTAAAATTTGCACGAAGAATTAAAACCTACGACGATTCGATGGATAGTTCTCAAAAAGAGATGTCATTTATTTTATTAAAACAGACATAAGTCAGAACTTTTGCTTATATATACATGCTTATATCAAAGGAAACCCCCAACGAAAATGTATCTTTTTCTTTTATTTATATAACTTTTACGTACACCACAGGAATTGTTTACCTCATTAAAAACTTATGAACTAGCCATTAGATAAAGGGCGGCCTTATAGTTAAACGATCTCTTCCAGGCAACCAAATGTAAAGGGAAAAACAAGAAAGACTATTGGAAGGTGGCGCTAGTGTTATTTCATTTAAAACATGCCATAAAATTAGTAGCCGCATTCCTTTCCACGCTTCCGAGGCTGGATAGAAATAATAGACAAACCGACCCCATCATAGTTATTACAACTTATAATAACGGTCCCAGGGAAATATAATGAATAATGAAACTGTTGGCCCATGTCCAGCATCACCACAGATCAAACAAAACACAACCGCAGCTAAACAAAGAGTCTCGTATCAACAGTTTTACTGTACTTTAACAACTAATTTATTACTTGTAGACAAGATTGTTTGAATCATAAGTACTGGGCGGTTTTATGTATTTTCAAAGCGTCGAACGTGGTCTTATTATCAGATCATTAAACTCGTAGCGGTTAAGATAATATTTAAAGAATTCTTTCAATTTTTAAAATTCAACGGAACAGATGGCGCTAGCGTAGAAGTTTTTTACTTTGACGTCAGAGACACCTTCAATCTTTAGTCACCCTGTGACCACGACTGCTTGCAAAGCATCCGAAACGTCGGGCCGTAATTAAAAATAATTTTCAACCTAATATATATCGCGTTTTAAACCGTTAAAGTGTTTTATTTAAAAAATCACATTTTACCGACTCGGAGTAGACGTACTATGTGTCTGTCTGTTCACTAATAATATTGTTATATTTATAGTTATAAATATTATTATATGTAATTGTTACAAATACTATTTTTTTGACTCGCTTTTCTAAATTAAAATGTTTATAGCCAGTCCTGGGTTCGCGTCTCGAGAAAAAGATCTGATTGACTTGGTAAATGAAAGTACTGTTATGTGCCTGCCCTATCACAGGTTATCACAGTATAATTGTATTGAATTGTTATGATCAAAGGTTGTAAACGTGAACAAGCGCGATCAGCACATGCCTCGTTATTCATAATCAGGGAACGCAATAAATCTCGGAGTTAAATGACCATTTCAACTGTCGTAAGCGAATAATGCATTCATAATTCACTTGCTTTGTCCGAATGCAGATGCAAATCGGCTGCGAGAGCAGACAAAGCCTAACCGGGGTGTGAAAGTCGACTGCACATCTGTGCAACGTTGACGTAAGACGTTGATACACGCGAGTAAATAGGACAGACACACTTGTGTCTCTAGCTATTATGTATAGTTTTATCTGACTTGAAAAAGACCGCAACAAACTTCGAGCTATAGAGAGTAGAGACCCAGCGATGGCATTTTTTAGATTTAAATAAAACACTTTTGACAATTTAAAATGCGATATATATAAGTGAAAACTATCTGAAAATTATTTTAACTACGGCCCAACGTTTCTGATGCTTTGCAGCAGCCGCGTTCACAATGGATGGCCGTAGTTGAAATAATTTCCAAGTAAGTTTAAAATATATATCGCATTTTAAACCGTTAAAGTGTACTATTTAAATGGGTATGTCTGTACTTGTAGTGTACCTTTTATAAAGTGAAGTTGATACCACAGATGACACAGGGATAAAGAAACATCGATTGCCAACCAATATTTCACCGAACCTTAATATTTGAAAACTTTATTATTTTTTACATGTTATTGCACATTGAGGCACTATATAATTTAAAAATTGAAAAGGAGCAACAGCACGGAACTCTGACGATGCCGGTTCAAGGCCTGCCCGAGGCGATTTTTTTTTCAATTTATTTTCGATTTTTAAACTTTAATATTTCAAATACCTTCCATCGACCTTTTTTTATATCGTTATTATTTAACTCGACGTTTCTAACGCCCTTCAGCGATCGTGCATGAGTGGGAACTACGAAATATAGTATGTAAATAGTTAGGTAGCACTATTTCTATCGTTGACGGATAAAATTCGAAAACGTCGGGCCCTAGTAAGAAATTGCGTTAAATACTGTCTATTTACGCGAGTAGTACACATTTAAATAAAACACTTTAACGGTTTAAAAGCGATATATTAGTTAAACACGTGGTCGGGGAGCTCCTCGTCTCCCCGTGAACAAGCATCCGAAACTCGCCGAAGTTAAAAATCATTTTCAAATAAGTTTAACTAATATATGTTTTAAACCTTAAGTGTTTTATTTAAAAGAAATTGGTTACTAAAAAAATTGCAAATTAAACAGTTTAAAGTGTTTTATTTTATGAAAGAGCTTTCACGCCTTTCTATCAAGTGAAGCGGACGCGGGTGTGTCAGACGGATTGTTTGGCTGCTCCGCGTCAAAACAGTTCGTAGCGCGGCATCTCTGAATCAGATGCAGTCGCGACGTTGACCGATGACAGTCCCATTTTAAATAGATGTCTGCTAACCGAATGTGTGGACAACGAGGATATTCTGCCGCGTCTGATTCACCGGATACCGGGAAGAGTGTATCACTGACATTTGGAGTTTAATTAAGATGTACGGTTCAACTTTTTCGTTGTATATTTAGTTGCGTGACTGTTTCGGCTTTAGAAACCATTGCTCACTACGAAGCCATCTATTTGTACTAGCTATGTCAGCGACTTCGTCTGCGTTAAATAGTTATTTTGGGCATCAATATTTGTTTTAGCAAACCTTCTCTTTAATTTTATTTAACGGTCGCGTCCCATCGTTCTTTCAAGTGAATCTTAGAAGATACACACCGAACCAGTAGTAACTGAAATTGCCGTGTTCAAACATACAAACAAACAAACTCTTCGGATTTATATATTAGTATAGATATAGATTTTCTAGTTATTAAACTTTTAAATACTAAAGGTTTCTGGTACCAGCTTTTCGATATCTCACCTCCACTTAGCACCGAGGATCCGTCTGGCAGTGTGGTGGCGGTGCAGTATCGCGGAAGCCCTTTACTGCTGATGAAGTTTTTGGACCTTTTCCCCTGTTCTATCAGCCTCTGGGGCGGCATACCGAGCAGCTCGATGATACACGCCATTTGGTCCGCTTCATCTTCACCGGGCAGTAGGGGAAACCCTGAAATATTGTTAATGAGGTGTAAGAATACTGTCCCTAGTTTACGCGAGTAGTACCTACACATTTCATGAATTATTTTAACTAATATATATATCGCGTTTTAAGCCGTTCTTTATTTAGAGGTGTGATATAAAAAAAAAATCGTGGAAAATTATTTATCTTTTAGGGCGTCGGATGCGTGCGCTACGAAAGCGGTTCGAAATTCAAAAACTAGGTATGAAAAATGATTCCTCTTTAAATGATCTAAAAAAATGTATGCGACAGTATATTATGTCTTTAAAGATTAACAAAAACCGTTTTTATAGCAATCAAATTTGGTAGAAATTCATGCATTTTTACCAATTATTAACTTAAGCTAAAAAACACAAAGACATATATAATTTACAGATTGTTTTCATAACAAAATTAAAAAAAGAAAAAAATAATTTAGAAGGCTTTTTGTGAAATGGGGGAAAGCACTCGGCATGTAGAGAAGTTAATTCCCCTCAGAAGAGGGACCCACTACAAACTTTTTAGTGAACTAAACTAAACTTTAAAAGTAAATAAACTGAGTAATTAAACTGAACTGAAGTCAATGAAGTGACTTGAATAATAAATAGTGGAATTTGTGTTGTACACTCTAAAAAAAAATATATAAAACATATAATAAAATTGTATCAATATAATAATCTTGCAAACAACTAGTTCTTATTTATATAACAGCTTCTAATGCGACTTAACTATCTTTAATTACAATCAATAGTAATTAAACATACGCAGGATAACTAAGCCGTTAAGAATTACATGTGCTCATCTAACACAGCTGTTTCCCACGTATTTGTTGCATATAAATACCGCATATACATATATAGCTGTCTAACTGTATGTCATAACTTATGCTATGAGAGATTATTCACCTTTGGATTAACTCGTTGGTAATGGTAGCATTGTACGGCTAGTAACCAACGGGTAGCGGGTTCGATCCCCATCGGGTCCAACATTTTTCTTATCAATTCATAATTTTTGACACATGTTCTACTTTGTTTGTAAATCTGGATATTAAATGAAATCACGAAGCACAGATGAAAAAGCCTTCAATTGGTGTAATCAGGTTTCGGTTTTCCCAATATACAAGCGAGAATAGGCGAAGCGCATCATATTTAGATGCTTGGCTGGGGTATTTCACCTACCATCGAGTGAGCCCCAAGCTTGTATATCCTCCTCTATCAGTCAAAAAAATACCTGTAAGCAGTTCCGCCAAAATGCAGCCCAGCGACCACATATCTATGGGCATACCATACTTCGCGCCCATCATCACTTCAGGTGCCCTGTAGAACCTCGACTGGATGTACGTGTACACCCTCTGATGTTCGTAACACGAGCTCCCGAAGTCTATGACCTGGAATGAAAACAATTGTCCGTTATATACATGTTTGAAAAAGCCTTATGTATGTAGATTGGTTAGATTAAACATCGAAAAAAAATTGAAAAAATTCGGCAATTTTGACTCGGGCAGAACTTGAACCGGGATCGTTAGCGTTCCGTGCTTATGCTCTAACCATATAGTTCATAATAGCTCAATTGTCCAAATCGAAAATCGATTGTGGAATAACATGTAAAAAATGTTAAAGTTATCAAGTAGATTGTTAATTAACGGAATTAAAACAAGAAAATATTCTTAAAATAACATACATAAATACTTATAATTTTCACCTGTTAATGTGCACAAGATATAGTATTGTTTGTTTTTAACGGTTTAAAACGCGAAATACGTAAATCAGCTTATTTTTATTATTTGCCTACGACACGATGTTTTGGATGCTTTACAAATTACTTTTTAGTTGTACATGTTTTGAAGTTACATTAAATTTGTGCAATTTACGATTATTTAACTAATATAAAGTTTTAAGATGATAAATAAAAACTGTTATCTCTCCATATTAGTTTTCTAATATAAGTATTTCGTATTTTAAACCATTTAAAAGTGTTTTATTTACTACAGACGTTAACGTAGATAACAGGTGTTGTCTGTAGTTTACGCGAGTAGTACGCATTTCAATGAAACTTTTTTAACCGTTTAAAGCAGGAAATATATTAGTCAACTTGCTTTTAACTGTGGCAGGTTTAAAGCTGAAACAACTGAAGTTTCCAACATTCTTCGTTGGTTCAAATGCACCGCGAGGCAATTTTATTATAAATTAATAACATCAAGTGCAGGTAACTAACTGAACAGGAAAGCGTGGGGTTCGACACAATTGGAACCGGATTAAACTCAGCAATCTCTATTTATAATCAATATCTGTTCGACAAATTAAATCAAGTGCAAAAAGGGAATGCAATGAGCGTTTCTTTTCAATTAGGTTTAAGTTGACTTTGAAAACTCTTTATTTTTTGTTTTGTATTTTTTATAATTATATTTCTAATTTCAATTCAGCTTATATTTCGCGCGCCAGAAGTTTATCATATACAAATTGTATTTTTTATAAGAAGGTCTCTTCAGTCAAAAGAGCTTAGTATCCCTGAATGACTACCGTCACTAAGTTACTTTTGGCCTTCTACCATCAAAACCCGAAAGAATACATAGGTCAATTCCGAACAGGCAACCAAATTAAACTTTGCCTAAATTAGGAATCAAACCGTAGATGATATGCAGACAATTGTAAATAAGTTGAGTCGTCTGCTTAATATAAATAAATAGAAGTTATTTCAATGAAGGTAGGACTAAAGATTGTTGGAATTTATGGTCCTTCAAGCCGGGATGGATTTTAAAACTTACCGCCCTTCATGATTAATATATTTAAAACTTGCAACATATTAATTGTGTAAGTACAGAAATACAGTACAATCTTACGTACTAATAATAGCTCGACGCGAGTTCAACAATATTTACATCGCTTAAATTACAACATTTAGTGTTCCATTATTATCGATTTACAGAAATAGTAACATTGAAGTTAACGATTCGGACGAAATCGTGAACACGTACTGTGCACAAATCCAAACATATTGGAGCTTTTCAAAACATTTAACCGTTCTTGAAAGAAATACAAGAGCGTTATGAGAACCATATTGATTGTTTTTTTAAGTACACGCCGTTACGAAAACTACCTAGTTTCAACAAAAAACCACCACAGGGTAGTGAAACCCCTAAGAGGGGCAAACATTTAGAACTACAAAAGTTAAATTTTTGAATTTAAGGTATGAATCATATTATATATGCGTTAAAACTTTATTATTAGCTACAATTAATAAAAATAAGATACACCTACAATAATATGTAATTGCACCCAGATTCACTCTTTTTTTAAATATACGGCAATTTTTAGCAAGGATTAGTTTTTGATTTATTATTTTTTTATTTTAGATGATGCGTAAATATGTCACCTTTAGTTTATATCAATTTAAATGCAATCTGATATGTATAGTAAAAATAAAGTAAATTACAATAGTTCTAAGACTTTACTTAATGAAACCTGAACTTTTACACTTTCCACCGTCAACTCTAAATTGACTGTCAAAAGTTTTGACTTTCTTCACCTTCCTTGACAGCTGTCAGCGTCAATCAGCTGACTTCACTGTCAAATAAAACGAAATTCTTTACATCAAGCCTAAGCTTAGCAATTGTTAAGGTCATCTATTGTGAATATAACAATATTAAAAATATCATAAGTCCACAGCATATCATAAAGGTCTCGTTATTAATACACAATGGCTCGTAATAAAGGTGTTTGCACACTATTGGAGCCATTGCGTTAACGAAAAGCGATAGTTTTGATCAGTGATAAAACTGTCTTTAAAAAATATTTTTTGATATTTTAGAAACTTAGATATTTTTCACATTTAAATAAAACACTTTAATGGTTTAAAACGCGATATATATTAGTTAAACTTATTTGACTTTGACCGAATCGAGCCGTAGTTAAAAGATTTTTTTTATAAGTTTAACTAATAGATATCCCGTTTTAAACCATTAAAGTGTTTTATTTAAATGTTCAATACTCGCGTAAACTACACACAACTTAAATTTACGCAGTAGTACACATTTAAATAAAACACTTTAACAGTTTAAAACGCGATATATTAGTTAAACTTATTTGATTGAAACGTCGGGCCGAAGTTAAAAATCATTTTCAAATAAGTTTCACTAATATATCGCGTTTTAAACCGTTAAAGTGTTTTATTTAAATACACACAATGTTTTATCTTTTCCATGTCATTATACATAAATTAAAAAACGGTTTTAGATTGAAAAAAAAAATTAAGTTTACAGACAGGACTTGAACCGGCATATTAAATTTAAACCTGAGCAATTTGGCCGCACTGCAATGGTTAGTTCAGTGACGTTACGGTATAGTGAGCAGAGACCTTAAACGTACACAATTGATCACTTGCGTCAGTATCGTGCGCATACGATGTTTATTATACAATCGTACGTTTAATCGATTCCCGATCCGAGTTGCATTGTACCTAATGCAATGGCCTGTTTACTCGTAAAGCGGGTAAGAGGAATCACTTTCATCAGATAACATGTACTGTTACGATAATATGGCTTGTAGATACATAGGGTCTAAGGTAGGTACTGTTTCCTCCAACGTACGGTACGGATTGGCGATGCAATTCTGACTGTTCCACTGAACCGCGGAGACTTTGTGAGCCACATATGTTACAGGAAACGACGAGCTCGTTGGTGTAGTGGCCGTGAAGTTTAATCGCGTTTCGGTGTCAGTCTGTAGATTTCCGATCAGCCAAAGTCAAAATAGGTTTAGATATTAGATGGCTGGGGTAACCTACCGTCAAGTCAAACCGATGCTTGTCTGTACTCCTCTATCATAAAAAAAAAATAAGATTGAAAGGAATTTCGGTCTACATTAGCAATTAATTTCTTATGAAATTCAAAATGTCTTGATCGTTTGTGTGCAGGGGTTCGTCAGCAACACGACACAATTTATATTTCAAACTTAATAGGCTGTTTAAATAAAACACTTATACTTTTAGTCCCCTGCCGTGCCACGTTTCGGCTGCTTCGGAAACGTCGGGCCGTAGTTAAAGACATTTTTCAAACAAGTTTAACTAATATATATCGCGTTTTAAACCGTTCAAATGGTGTACCTTGCAGAACTAGACTAAAATTCTATTATAACGCCCAATAGGAGCTATAGAGACAAGTAAAGCAGTGATGTAATAAATAATTCAAATCCACGATAAGATAGAACGCGTTATGAAAAGCAATAACGAATGCAATAATCTCGAAATTCGCAGATCGTAACGTAAAACGCGAGAAATAGAACAATCGTCCCCACATCGATTCGTTTACGACGCCATATGGGATGCGGGTCATTGACATACATTTCGGTTTAGTGATCGCGTAGTGAAATACGTGCGATAATATCAACTGTTCATGTGAGGTCCTGGGTTCCAAATCTAGGGAAATGTTCTAAAGTGCTATTTGGATTTTTAAAGGTGTTTAAATGTTTACACCATTTCGATCACAACTGGATGTCATTATTAGGTTGAGTGGTCCTCGACTATACAGAGACTATATTAAATGCTGTCGTTTAGTTTACGCGGGTAGTACACATTTAACTAAAACACTTTAACGGTTTAAAACACGATTTTTTAGTTAAACTTGTGTGAAAATTATTTTTAACAACGGCCCGACGTTTCGGATGCTTTTCAGCAGCCGTGGTCACGGGCAGATTATATTATTTCTAATAGCCTATAATATATAAAATAGACACAGAAATATGTCTGCTGTGTATGAATTTACTTAAATGCGGAGCAATTAATACCTGGTCCTTTATATTGCACTTATAATAACAAAATTTCGTTGTTATTTTTTTAACCATAATTGGTTATACCCAGTTTTGTATTTAGCAAATATTTTTTGAATGTTTGCCAGACAGAAAAAAATCAGGATGTGACTACAACTTGACGTTCTGAGTGCTTTTCAGGCCCTTGCCCTGTCATTCATAAGTTACTTTAATTTAAATGTACACTCCAACCCAATAAAAGATGAACTGGAAATAAGATTCAAAAGAGACGGACGAATGCCAAAACTAATTCCCGTAACAGAATCTAAGCCAACTTATCTAGAGCGTCTCCCAAAATGGCAAGTCGTTGACATGTCTTAGATAATTATGAGTTTTTTAAATGCACTTTTGATAATCGATACTTGGAATATATTACTTAAATTAAAACACTTTTGGTACTACCCATGTTGCCATACAACGAAATCGCTGCTGTAAACGACAATCGGTCTAGTGCAGGGATGCACAGACTTAATAGGACTAGGGGCCACGTAAGTAATTAAAGACAATACATATATAGATAATAATATATTAAAATGTAAAGAATTTATTACTTAATGTGTTAGAGCTACTATGCCTGTATGTCAATATT